AATGGCATTTAGCAGGAGACTGAATCAGTCCCAGAGTTTACAGCAGGACCCTGAGGTTAAAAAAAAGAACAAAAACCAACCAAACAGAAAACCACACACACAAGTGTCAAGGAACCCATCTTTTTATTGTGTTGCCTAGCCACTACTTGGGCCTCTGGTAGCTACAGCAATACTATTGACATTTTTAATGACCACAGCTAATCAGGATCATAGCTGCAGATCTGAAAGCTTCTGTGCTTTTGCCCCTGTTCAGTAGACTACCAGAAGGAAGAGCACTACCCAGATGCAGCTGCCATTAGCTCTTCAGAGACTATTCCAAGATGACCCAAGGAGGCACTGACAAAGCACTCCTTTGTCTTACCTACTTTTGTCTGGAAAGCAGTGCCCAGGCTCAGCCAGGCACCTGTAAAGATTTGTTACATGTGACTTGCGAGCAAGATATTTTTGTACTTGTACAGCTGCCTGTTCCATCATCAGAGCTGTATAAGGTGAGCCTGGTATTTCTATTATGCTTTCCAAGAGTGAAAGGTACAATTCTGCAATGCTGGCATGCAATGAATGAAGCTTTAAATGGCTTATGTTCCAGAGCAGAATACAATGCTCTCTTACGGGGCTACAAGTAGTAAGACTAAAGTAGTTCTCAGCTTAATCCATCAAGCCTGAGCTCCTGGATGGGGAGGTATTCTACTTTTTGGCTTAGAAATTCTTCACATTAATATGAATGCATCTGATGTGAGGGAATCCTGTTGGGGCTTACTTGGTGCAGACAGAAATGTGTCTGAGCCACATGCTCCCATGCTAGGGAATGGGGCAGGAATAGCATAACAAGCTTGGTAAGGAGTTCACTATGATGCCACCACTGAAAGACGTTAGTTACTGCAAATGCAAAATATCAGAACTGGAGTGTGTGGTGGGTAGGTACTGACCACATCTTTGTGAAGGGGGAATCTGCTGAGACAGTCATTGACTGGCAAACGTTAAACAACCTATCAGGTACAAACTGGTTACTAGTGTAAGGATACTGCAGAGAATTGTGCTATCAATATGATAGTGCAGTTCTCCCCCTCCTCTCCTTTCTCTAGTAGGAAACCAACCACAAATGCCAGGTCTAGGAAGTAACTACAACCCAAACAAAAATTCTGGTCATTTACAATACCAAGGGGATTAAGATTAGGGCTGTTAAGTGCTATACTTGCCTAACTTCAACATTTAGTATTTCAAATGAATTCCTCCATCCAAAATGTTAATGCAGAAGAACACCTGCAACTACACCCACAACTGGCAGGTGAAGTATGCTTTCTGAATAGATACCAAAGCAGGGATGTTACATTTTATCATGTAAGACTTCCTACTGAAAAAAGCATTTTAACAGAGACCTATGCTACTGCTGCAGAGACAAACAGTAATCTATTAGCTTAGTCTGCCACAAATTGTCTAATGTCACACAGGGCAGCCAAGCCAGAGTACTGGAGACCCATCCAGGGGCTGAAAGCAAGACTCAATCACTGGCCAAGCCAAGAGAATGTTGTAGGGAATTGGGACCTGCTATTAAAATAGCTAGCATAGACATTTGGCTACAACACAGACTAGTTTTTTGCTAGCTATGAAACAGCTTGCTTCCAGTAACAGCAATACCCAGTGTCATGGCAAGTACAATGTTGTTGGAAGCAGAGAAAAGAGTCCCTACATTGTTTTCTTCAGCGATGAAGCAGCTGAGCTTATATGTCCATTTCAGCAGAAGTTTGCTGGAAATTAAGTGCTTGTTCCCCCTGTCCTTGCTTCTGTGCTCATGGAGTTATCAGCAGTGTAAGCCAATATCTTCTATTTATGCACAGGTCAGGTGCTAAGTTATAGGGCCAACAAACTTGAAACATTTTTCTACCAAGGCTGTAAACTCACCACCTAGAGACCCTGCAAAAGGAACCTGTAGCCATGCTTTGCACTACATCTTTACTTTGGGACACTGGATTCGGTCTCATTTAGGTTTAGTGATGTCATGTAGACAGAACACATGTCAACATTCTGTTCGCCTAGCAGTTCTGCCTTGGTTGAAGGCGGCTTAACAGGCAATATTAAGTTGAGATGCTACTAGCCTTGCTAAAAGCAAGAGAGGAAAGCAGCTCATTTGTTAGAGACCCACAATTTTCTATGGCAATATAAATAATAAACTCCCATCAGATTGCTTGAAAACTTTCAACAAAGATGGAGCAATCTGCCCAATTACAAACTGCTCTCTTGTCCCACTTGTTTTAAAAAGTTAATCGTATGGGTAAGATCACAGTGAGGAAATTTTTGTACTTGTATGTTAGAAAGCCTTCAGAGGAGCACAGCAAGACCACTGGATGATGTATACCTACCAAGTTGTGAGAAGACTTCAGAGGCTTATTCTGTCTTTTCTTTCTTCCAGCTCTTTACATATATCTGACATTTCAACTGAACCGGGTAGAATTAGAGATCACTTTTATACCAATTGATAAATCTGGGATGCTAAGTTGCTGTCTGATGGTTTAAATTATGGGCTTTTATTCGTTTCAATTACAGCTGTTGCCAAAACTGTCAGAATCAAAGTAAAAATGCAGGTTGTGAGATGCAGATCAGAGGTTCACATTCCTCAGCTCTAAACACTTGAGCAGAACAAAAGATTTCATAGTCAGTAAACTTTTCCAAGTGCTAGTTCTAAAGAAGTGACAAAAAAAGCTTTCAATTCAAATTAGCCTGCTACAGTAACAGATTCACATTCTCAAGTGTTACAAAGCAGCACAGGGGTAACTTCATTTGTGGTAACTTCAAGAGGGATGGCCTCCCGGCAGCTAGTTACTAACTAATACTTTCTCCATCATTGGTAAGCTAACAGGATGGGGACAAGCTCACTGTGTAAACACCACTAAGAGACCACCACATGTCCACATCATTTCCTGGTTTTATTTTGTCAAACACTGTTACAAGACTTAGGGGACAAAGTAGTGAAACAAGACTAGTCTTCAAACATTGTATCCAATCAGGCTGCCTCTGCCTATGATCTCACCGATGTAAAACCACATCAGCACCTCTGTGGCCACCAAACCGTTCCTCAGAGCTTCCTGAAAGAAAGAAAGCCACATTTTAGAATGTTTGCTATTGCATTAACATCTTCCTTTGCTTTGTTAACCATACACAAAGTTTGGCTGTGATGGCTAGAAAGCTGCCCAACTTCATGAGATAACAGCATCTTTAGTTAAAGCCAAGAATGCTAAGAGTTTACTCCCCATGACCCAAGTAGTAACAGCACATACTGACATGCGCTCAAGTCTTATGTACAGATTAGCTTCCAGAGCCCTTCAAAGAGAATGCTTTAAAGCATAAATACTGAGACACATTCAAGTTTTAGTGCCAAGCAATACACTGGACCCACGAAATACCTGTTCAGTACTAGTGTGCAGATCTGTGTATCTGTTAATATTTGATTGATGTGGATGGATGCTGCAGAAAAAGCACATCTAAATTCTACTACTTGTAATATGGTAAAGAAATGAAAAGCTGGTCCATGAAAAATGCTATTCAGTTCAACCTATAAATTCCCCAACTCGAGTATCTCCTCTTTATGAGAATAGCTTTATTGTTTTTCATGGCACAAGTAAAGCTTTTTAAGTTAGGATGTCAGTAGTTCAATAAGTTCCTGGAATATAGCTGCATTTGCCAGACTCCAGAGAAATATGCAGCCAACCCATTTTTATCTTAAAAATTACTTTTTGAAGATTAACATAAATGAACAAGTTTTCAAAATATTACAGGTAACTTCAGGAAGAGATGTGTGAAGAGTTAAAGGGGCATCAGTCAGAAGACCAGGACTAGGCAATTAAAGACCCAGAACTACAGGTAAGTTCAGAGAACAATTCTTAATTTGAACTCCCATTCCTATAGTAAAAGAAGTTATTACTGAATGACTCTTTACAGATCAGGAAGGGGGGAGGTACATTATTTGGAAAAGTGCCTAGAAGTGACTGGTTTATTGGACCTTGCTTTATTAATTAAAGAGCAGCACCTGGAGGCTAACCCCATTGTGCAATACAAGAACAAGGGGACATTCAATGAAACTGAAAAACAGCAAGTTAAAAACTGATTGAGACAGAAAACTTCATGGATATCCAAATTTACAATAGATATTTGCAAGAGTTTGGGAAGGGACTAAAACCTCCTAATAAGGTTGGGAATAAGGCTACCTATAAAAAAAAAAATAGAAGAGCGTTAGAAGGAAAACTTAATTGGGACAGGTTATCACATAGCTCCCAAACTGTATGTTTTTTGCACCTTCCTCTTAAGTATCTAGATCTAGAACTTGTCATTGACGGCGAAAGGTACTGAACTAAAAGAACTACTGATCTGATCCAGCTTGTCAATGCCCTAGTTTCTATTAAGGAAAGACGTATTCCCTCCCGTCCCAAAATATTCTATGAGACACAGCAGTTACAGAACATAGCACCATCTCTCCTCACTGCACTGTAAAAGGTAGCAGCATTTTAAAGCTATCCTTAAGCTGTTGATTGTTAGGTCAAGCAGAAGTATTAATTCCAAACTAGATTATCCAATATACCTTCACCCAACATTTCTATCAGAAGGGTAACAATGCATTTCATTCCTTTTGAAAATAAGGCAGCTGCAGACACAAAAGTGGAAAGATCAGAAGTGATATTTGTTCAACCTCCCCCCCACCTCCTCACAGAATGCGCTCATTAAGAATGCACAGTGGGCTAGACTATCAACAAAGTGTCTAGCAAGTTAACTGCTCTGGTCAAACAACAAGCACAAGCCACTTTCTGGGCTGCTTTTTATGCTACTACATGTAACCCAGCTAAAAGTGCGTTAACTAGCCTGGCTGGAGAAACCCCTGGGGAAACACGCTTCGGTTATTCATATCCATTCTTATTTAGCCTGCAGTTACCTTGACTGTGAGCTGTGCGAGGTGACCAGACTGAAAGCTTTTAACCATAGCTTTCATGCTGTCAATCGCCTTGGGGATCTCAGCAGGGGTTGGAGGAACCAACTCAACCTTGGCATATTGCCAAAATGTGGCCAAACGAGGCTTGGAGTAAGTCACAGCAGCTGGAAAAGAAAAATACCAGGATGAATCCACTAGAAGCTAAAAGAAACAGATGTGTGCACTGGACACAAATATTTATTCATGAATCACATTCATTTACTGTTTTCATCAAGTATGCACCTAATCTAAAGTGTCTGAGCTGCATATTGGTAACGAGCAGATAATTTTAAAAATTATGACTACACACCCAACCAGCGCTCTGGCTGCCTATTCCATAAATTTAAAAAAAACAAAAACAAAAACCCACCATGAACATAAAGACTGCGAATAAATATATCCATCACAGCCCAAACCCTCAGACTTAGAAAGAGGAAATAAGTGGATTTAGAAGCATTTTCAGAAGGTTAACAGATCTGATTCTGGCCAGGTGTGGGATGGCAATTTCAAGATTCCTGCCAGCAGCTTTCATATACATTAAGGAACCCACAGCCAAGCACCTCTCCTGATCTCAACTGTGGCAATACCACACAAGGAGAATGGCAATCATACAAGTATCCAGGTCGCAAACCTTTTGAGGGTTTTTAAGTTAAAATAAACACATGGCATTCCATTCCAAATCTTACTGGAGCCAGGAGAGAAATTACTGGTCTAACATGCTCACAACTCCTTAAACAGGCTGTTTACAGCATTAAAGGTACAGAATACTTATCATTAGGAACTCAGCCATTCACAAAGCCTGTATGAAAATGTTTATCATGTGATGGCCTCAGATCAGTACCAAACTATCAACTGGTTGGGAATTGTCAGTTGCTATCTAAGTTGCCACATGATTAGTATAGGAAACTCAGTAGTATCACTGTTTTGCCATCAGATAGTGTTATGATTTACCACTAGAAAGAGTAAGTGAAAAACATTTTAGTTGTTTCTGTTCTTAAACTGTCATGCATCAATATTGGAAGCATGAATAATTAGATGTTAGAATCATACCAGTTAATTTTAATAAGACCAGCCATATACAGTCAGACCAATGGTCCATCTGGCTCAGCATCCTGTCTAACTGTGGCCAATGCTAGGTGTTTTGGAAGGACTGAACAGAACAGGTAATCAAATAACCCATCATCTACACCTACTTCTGGCAATCAGAAGCTAGGGACATCCAGAGCATGAGGTTGCATCCCTGACCATCTTGGCTAAGAGCCATTGATAGACTTGTTGAAATGTGTTTTATTAAGCTTTTCCTAGTTAGGCAGAGTTAGAGTTACCTCTCTGCAAAAGCTGAGGAAGTGGTAATGTGAAAACAGTGTTATTTCAATCAGAACATCTGCAGCATTCTGCATCTAAGACAATATCCCTACAAAGCCTGAGACCACTGAAAACACAAATGTTTGACTACTGATAATTATGCACTATATAGTGCAAAAAATTAAACCTTAGGTAAACGCCAGCCTATGTGGCCTCAAAATTAGACTTCAAGTAATACTGTTGTAAAAACTCTCCAGTCTCTATAAGCTCAGCTGAATGAAGTCTTGCTCATGAAGGTAGATTTCATCTTCCAGCATAAGCTTGAGAAAATATTGATTTTGTTTTCAATTTGCATTCTGAATGCAATTGGATGCTTGCACATAAGTAATTCAAGTGGGGGGAGGGGAGAGATCTGCTCTCCAAATTAAACCCAGAATAAAATGAAAAATCTCAGACAAACACTACACTGTTTCCAGAAGATCAAAAATTCAGTCTATTACACCAACTGAGAAAATTCCAAAGTAAATGGCCTTTTGGGCCACTGAAAGCCTTTCCACTAAACCCCATGCTTTCTTCAACTGCCATGTGGTATTGCTAAGGTCTTCAAACCATCAGAAAATGTTCAATTTAGACTCTCTCCATAGTTTGTCAATTACTCCTTCAATTAATACTTCATTTTCAGTTGTGGACATTATGAAGTAAGCTAATATTAGTTCAACAGAGCCACTTATTTTAAACTCTCAGGAATAAAGTTTTGCTAAAGACTACTTCATACTTAATACTTAGACAATATTCCTTGGCCTTCGATAGAATCAAAGATCGAAAAGGTATGACCTTCCTCCAAACATATTAAGGCCAGAGATACACCCCCAGCTGGACAAGCAGAATGCAGTATTTTTAAATGAAAACCTTTTAAAGTAGATCATACCTTTCATATAGAAAAGGACCTCAGCTAACATAGGCAAAGATGCATTGCAATTACAAAGCTCTCAAGAGGAAAGAGCCAGAAGTACAAGAAACTTGTATCAAGACATGCATAGAACAGAAGAAAAGGAAGAGCCAGAATTCTCAAGAGATATAGCTTGTTAGCAAAAACAAAGGTTATCTATTTGCTTTTAGCAACTTGGTAGCCTGACAACCCACTAGAAGTCCACCACATCCTGCATCTCTCAGCATTTTCCTTATCACTACATCCTAACCTCAAATATAGGAGCAAAAGTTAGTGCAATCTATGCATCTCAAACTTTGCCCTTACACCTGTACGTTTAGAGGAAAAGCAGTTCTAATCTGGTTTTATATCATGGCTGATCACTACAGCATGTGTGTACCAGGTGAAACTAATAACAAAATCCACCGACAATGGAATTTTGGATATGTGTGCAGGGCTGCGGACAGATTATTTTGTGTGTTTTCAAATTGGTTTCTTTTGGGTAGAAGGAGGATGTTGTGAGGATCCATCTTGTGTTGAAAAGACCTGATTTCATTGAGTATTAGACACTCATCCTTCTCAGTCTTCCATGAAACGTACAGGTGCTCAGTACCTCTGGAAACATGGCTACTAA